AAAAAGAGAAGAAAAAAAGGGTCATTGTATCTATGAGTTCAAATTTATTATAAATTAAAATATTCTTCATTAAAATAAGGTTGAAAGAGGTTCTTTCATTTGGCATACTGTTATGTTTTTGTCATTTGATCAGATTCAGAAATAATAAACTTAATAACTGAAATAACAATAGCTGTATTTTGTTTTTAATATAAATGACTCACTAGTTGCTTTGTATAATGACTACTAGTTGCTTTGTATAACTCATTCATTCATTAGAAGGCAATAGTTTTTCGTGAGAGGCTGAGATTTAAGTATAGTACTTCATCTTGATAAGGCCCTATGTGCCACTAGGTATAAAGAGGAAGATTGACTTCATGTTGATGCTAGTGTATGACTAATGAAATTTTTAAGTGAGCTATTGAAACAATCATTTGATATTTTGTCATTTTTTCTAAAGACTCGAGAAGAACAAGCCCAGATTACAAGTCAAGTGACAGGACAGATAGGATGGAGGAGAGAAGGAATAAAATACAGAAGAAATGAGCTGTTCCTTGATGTGTTGGAGTCAGTCAATTTACTCATGTCGCCACAAGGTATAATATTAATAAATCATTAATAAAATCAATAAAATACATCAATGAATACTTCCAAACTTCTCTAACTAGAGTGCAAACACCAAAACCATGAAAAACATTAGTAATTAAACAGGGCTAAACAGTACTATTATTTGAATTCCTTTGTTTTCTATTGCCAATTTACACTATCATGCTATTTGCCAGTATTTGGTGAATATTTCTTAGTGTTTTTCAAAGTTTATGTTTACAAATGTGTCATTTGGCATACTCACCTTATTCCTAGGACAAGTTCTGAGTGCCCATGTTTCTGGTCGTGTTGTCATGAAGAGCTTCTTGTCTGGTATGCCAGAATGTAAATTTGGCATGAACGACAAGCTTGTTGTAGAGAAACAATCAGCCAAGGCTTCATCTTCAGAGTCATCCATGGATAACATAGGCTCAAAAAAGTATGTCAAATCCATTGTATTCCTGTTGCTAGTATTCCTTTTACAGTGTTATACAGAAGCC